TAAACAGACTACCATAAAAATTTCATGGCATTTGGATAAGTAAACTATCCTACACAAAAATGACAAGCTATAGCATAAAAATGAGCATGAAATTACTTTGTACTATGAAAAGTGTCAAACAACAGAATTAATATTTTTCCTAGGTTCTTCATGGTATATAATGACTGTAAAAATTACCACATGCATGTTTTATACAAATTTTGCTCTCTAGCAAAAATAACAAAAATCAGCCATCTAAGGTACTTGAACTACACCTCAAAGTTTTCCCACAGCACATGCATGAAACATATTTTTCCTAGGAAGTACATGACATAAGAAGATTAACAAACTTGGAATCATATTTTTCTGAAGCCTATATATTTTCTACATATATTTTCAAGTTATCAGCAATATTCAAGATTAAATAAAATCCTATAGAAAAGTATCTCAAAAATGACATGCACAATTTTTCCCAAGTAGATCTGATGATAAGGAACCTAGCAAAATTTGTTTCAACAAATTTGGAGCAACTTTGAGTATCCAAATATTTTGCAAACCATTTGCATTTTCAAATAATAATGAATAAATTGAAAACAATTCATTTAAAACACACTCTTGGGCCGGCCGAGGGAACAACTGGCCCATGGTCACTGATCTGCCCACGCGCTGCCCAAGCCTTGAGGAGGAGCGCGGGCGGTTGGCTGTGAGGCTTGAACCACCATTTGCTGCTACTGGGCCTTACCTGGCCAATTGGCTGGCACGTCAAGCAGAAGGGCTTTCGCCGGCTGTGTGCGCGACGACGGCATGGCTTCGGCCACGCAGGCCGGCGTGACCATCTCGCCACCTGCAGCAGCGCAAGCAAGCGAGCGCAGGAGGTTCGCGAGGCCATGGCGAAAAGCGAGCAGTGGCTAAGCACGACCGAGAAGGGAGGAAGAGGCGCCCCCGGCGCGGCCGAGCAGTGGCGGCGCCATGGGACGGCGGCGAAGCTTGAAAAAGCGCTACCTCGGCTCAAACGACGGCACAACCACGAGCACCGGTCCGAGAGCGAGGCGGAGCTGCTTGGTGCTTGATTGTTGGCCGTGGGAGGCCCGGCGGTGAATCACGCGCCGTGGGTGCGTGGGCGGCGAGCGGCGAGCTTGAGGCTCTCGGCTCTGGAGGAGAAGGAAGGCAGCTGTGGGCGGAGTGAGCGGCGCCACGGGCACCAAGCAAGTGAAGGTAGCGTGGGTGGTGATGTCGAACGACATGGTGGCGGCGACGGGCGGCGCCTGGCAGGGTCGCCGCTGGCGGAATTTCTCTGCCATGATGTCATGGCGTGGCGGCAGCGAGATAGGGGATGGATGTATGGTGAGGCAGGCAGTGGTGTGGGCGCTGGGGGCTTTTTGGGCGGCTTATGGGCTGGGCCGAAAGTAGGCGGCAGTGATGAAAAATGAAAGAAAAATCCTTTTTCATTTGTATTTTCAAGGGATTTTAAATGCTATCTTTCAAATATTATTTTGAGCAAGAAAATGACCTCTTTTGAAAATGTACCAAAAATGAAAGTTGTTTAGAATTTAATTCTCTACAACTTTGCTTTTAGGACCATGACCAAATTCTTTCTAGATTTTGAATTGAAAGATCAAAGTTCACGTTTAGCTCAAAACCCTAATTTTTGGAATTTATTTTTGAAGCCAAATTTTGAATTAATTTGAATACACACATTGCTCCAAAAATTGAACTAAACATTGCTAGATGATTTACAATAGCAGCCAAACATGTTCTACTAACCTAGCAAGCAAGAATCAGAGCAAAACAACTCTAATAAATGTATGCATCATTTACGTTTCACAAACATATTTCGTATGTTTCGAAGTAATGTTTCAGTTATTATATGCAAGATTATGCATGTATGATTAGGATGCTTGATGATGCATGATATGCATGATTTGCAGTGCCTAAATGTAGGCATAACACCGGGGTGTTACAATTACTCTCATCTCCTCCAATCACCTTGAGAAATGGATTAAACAAACAAGCCCTCACGGGATCTTTGGTTTATAAAACTACCATATTCTAGTCAAGGTGATGTAGTGATGCATCAAAAGTAGACCTAATCAAACTTCGGGTCGAGTCCAGCCGAAAAAATGGCGAGTTTTTTTTTGCCCGCGCTCGTTGGGCCGGGCTAGGTTATTCCTAGGATTTTTCTATGCTTAGTTGGGTTTGGTCGGGTTATAGATAAAAAATTATGGCTCGAGCTTATCTGATACACTAGTCAGGTCAGGTATTTTTGGGTAGGTAAGGTCGGATGGCCCATGATAAGGTCTAGTAAAGAGTTCATTCAACCATTTTGGTGGAATGATCCAATTTACTAATTATTAGCTCGTTGAGGGATGATGGCCCTGTTCGCTTCGCTGAAATTTGGCTGCTACTAATGCTACTATTGATTTGTTGTGAGAGAAAAACATTGTTCCTTCGCTGAAAAGTACTGTTGAAGTAGTGCTGAAAAATAAGGCGGATGTAACAAAAAATCAATCAATTACATTCTATAAATGAAACAAAAAAAGTAAGGAGGCAAGGTGATCTGCCATTCTGTTTTTCAAACCATACACCCCGTTGGTGTTCCATGAGTGGTACAAAAGTGAAAGTATAGAAGATTGCGCAATTGAATTCTACATCGGTAATGCTGCAGTCAGGGCATCCGTCCGTCCGAACGCTTGCTTCTCCACTGTCGCACCCACGCTGCCTACTCGCCGCGACCGCCTCCACTGCGATGCCTACTCGCCGCGGCCGCCTCCATCGAGCCGGCGAGCCTCCTCACCGCCTCCGGGGTCTGGCCGCTCGCCAGTGCCGCTAGCTGGCTGGGCCAACCTAGAAGTAGCCGTGCAGGCACCCGTACGCCATGTGTGGCCAGGCGACAAGGAGAGGGGTCTGTTGTTGGTCGGGCTCAGGCCAGGCACAGGCGCAGCTGGCCACTGCTAGGCCGCGCCACCATCCTCGATCGCCGAACCGCTCGTTCCCCGCTTTGCTCTACGTCGTGCGGAAGAAGGGTGAAAAACGTATGTTGCAAGCGTACGTTTCAACTGTTCTAGATGTTTCAGAGATATGTTGCAAGTGTTTTCAGATGAATGTTGCAAAAATAGATCGGGATGTTGCAATGGTTGTGCACGTATATTGCAAGTGTCTGTTCCCAATGTTTCATCTGTGTTTTCAGACGTATGTTGCAAGTGCGTTTATCTAGATGTTGCATATGTTTCACATATATGTTGCAAGTGTTTTATCTGGATGTTGCGTATGTTTGCAATGGTTTTCAAACGTTTTTAGGTGTTTTTTCATGTGTTTCACAAGCATGTTTCAAGTGTTTCATCTATCTTCAGACGTATGTTGCAAGTGTTGCATCTGAATGTTTTAAAAGTATATCAGGTGTTGCACATGAAATGCACATGAGAAGCGGGAGGGGCCACGAGCGGTCTCCGTGCAGTATGGCGGCATGGGCCCCGCGTGAGCATGTGAAACACAGGCGCGGGTAGAGGTGTGTTGGAGTGAGCACGGGCATGGAGTGTAGACGTGTGCACGGAAAACGGAATGCAACGCGGGCTTCCGGATGTCTGGACGCCAGCAATACCGATTCTACATGAGAGAATTTCTTATTTGACATCAGACAAATGACCCGTTCCTTTCTTGGCCCTCAAAAAAATTTTGTTCCCTATTTGACACCGAGTTTAACTTTCATTCCTTACATGACACTCCGTTGCATTTTCCATCCGGCCACCGTTAATTGCGCTATGAAAAGACGATTTTGCCCCTGTGGGCCCCACCACCCTTCTCCCTCCTCTGAATCGCGTCACCTCCACTCGCCTCACACTTCACCACGGGCCGTTCCTCACCGTCGTCGATGGTTCCCTGGCATCGAGGTCACGCGGCCGCGGCTGCGTCCTTCATCCTGCCGCCGCTCCCAGCTCCCATCACGCCGCCAACGTTGAGGCCCCGTGGTCGCGTCCTTCTCCCGCCGTCGGACCAAGCTCTTGTCTCGCGAGGAAGAGGACGGGGAGAGGGGTGCCTGAGGAAGGGGAGAAGGACGTCCTCCGCGCTCGCCGAGGCCTGGACGGTGGCAGAGGAGCGCCGAGTCCCTAGTTGCATCGCCTTCTAGGCACAAACGCGGCGGAGGGGCCTCAGCGCCTTCGGCCTCCTCGCCGGCGGCAGGTGCGCTCCCCTTCGGCCTCCTCCTCGCCGGTGACAGGCGTGCTCCCCTTCGGCCTCCTCCTCGCCGGCGGTAGGTGCTCTCCCCTTCGGCTTTAGGTGGCCGCGGGCTTGGGGAGGACGCGGCGGCCTGGAGGAGGAGAGGAGGGAGAAGGGTGGTGGGGCCCACAGGGGCAAAATCGTCTTTTCACAGCGCAGTTAACAGTGGCTGGATGGAAAATGTAACAGAGTGTCATGTAAGGAATGAAAGTTGAACTTGGTGTCAAATAGGGAACGAAATTTTTTTGAAGGTCAAGAAAGGAACGGATTATTTGTCTGGTGTCACGTAAGGAATTCTCTCATTCTACATCCACAGTCTCAAAATAGTAATGGAAATCTGTTGCTTTCAAATAATCAACCGAAAAGTAGTAGCTATACTAGACCCTAATGGAATGGTTGCTTTACAATATTTGCTCGGTGACAGAGTAGTATGTCTAAAATAAACTAATCGTTGCGTAGCAATTCTGTCACCAAACAACGTGATACAAACATAACAATACTTAATTTGCCAACCACCGACGTGGTTACCACGTGGATCATATTGATCGATGAATATTATATTCACAAATTATGAAGGCCTAGTCTCAATCATACTATACGCCAGTGAAGTACGAAATACGCTAATCCATTTTTTTTACCCAAATTCTCGTGAATTTAATTTGGTTGACAAGTCAGTAGTCACTATAGTCAGATCGTGTTAATTGCTTTTTTTTCAAGTAGAAAATACATACACTCCAAAATTGCCCTGTTCAATACACTTGGTACGACTCTACTGTAATGTACAAAACTCTGCTTTGTTCAAATAAGTACTATACGGCCGCGCTGGTGGGCTCCTCGGCGGTGTCGTGGCCCGCGCCCGTCGTCAGCTGCTCGGGGAACGGGAAGTTGAGCTTGGCGCGCGGGCCGCGGAACTCGATGGCGGCCTGGTCGTAGGCCCTGGCGGCCTCCTCGGCGGTGTCGAACGTCCCCAGCCACTTGCGCACGGCGCGGCGCGGGTCGCGGATCTCCGCCGCCCACTTCCCCCACGGCCGCTGCCGCACGCCGCGGTACTTGTTCTTCTTCTTCCTCCGCCTGATCCTCTGCCCCGGCGCCGCTGCGCCGTCCAATGCGGTCGCCGCCGCCGCGGCGCCCTCCCCGGCGGCGAAGAACTCGCAACCGAGGCACCGCTCCATCCCGCACACCTGACAGCACGCCGCTGGCGACGGCGGTGGGAAGACCTCCGGAGGCGGCGTGGTGTATCCGGAGAGGACGTGCAGCAGGGCGGCGACAATGACTTGGTGCTCCTGCTCGGGGGAGATCATCCTCCTCCCTGCGAACGGCGGCGGGCCCGGCGGCTCGGCGCCGGCCGAGCTCGGCGACGGATCATCGGAGTGGCCGTCGAATCGGATCATGTAGGATTGGTGGTTCGCTGCCATGGCGGAGAAGATGCAGTTGGCCATGCTGGTGCTGTAGCAATCTGAGGTCTGAGCTCGTGTGTGTGTTGGCGAGGCGCTGCTTTGAACTGAGAGCGGGAACTGGAGCGGGGGAGGCTTTTATACGGGGTTGACATCGGAGAGTACGCGGAGAAGCGGACACAGAAGCGCACGAATTGATTAGTAAGCTCCAGCTCCTGCTAATGGCGCCCTCCTCAGCGGCGCAAAGTAAACGTGTGAAACGTGCGCGTATTGCCCTCTGTTTTCCCCTCTTCTCTGTCCCGGATTTGCCCTCCTGGCTGTAAAGCGACAAGGTGTGGACGCGGGGCAAGGGTGGGCATAGTGCGGGGTCACGTGAGATGTGATGGCGGAGCTGACGTCAGCGAACTACGGGATTCCGATGGAGACATGGAGATGGAGCACAGCAGCCGGGGAGTGGTCCGGCTCCCGTCGTTGAAGGGGTCAGAGTGGGGTCACGGACGGTGACGAGGAGTCTCGTCTCGTCCAACGTGGCTCGAGGTCGGTCGTGGTGGGGGAGTGTTCGAAGGATGGGGCCCACCTGTCGGAAACGCTTTGAGGAGGAATTTCTGTTACGGATAAAGGATGGGCAGGTGCCTGGTGGGTTTTTTTTTTATGCAAAATTGCGTTGCGGATACACGTCATGTTTTCAGTCAACCTGTTCGTTTATTGATATCAATCAGGACTTATCAGCTAGCAGTATTTTGGAATCGTGCCTTCCGGGTCGCACACCCAAGAGAGTTACGAATACCAGTGCCTTTGCTGCCACTTGCCGATACAGCCCCCGTGCTGCTGTGTTGGTGGCGTGAAAACGTTGTTGGTGCAGACTGCAGAGGTGGTCGTGACGTGTGGAGAACTGGAGGTGGTTCGAGGGCGACGCGTACACATTGGCGACAGCTCCCCGGCGCGGGGCGTCCACTGCGGATTCAGGAGCGTGGCGCTCCGGCCGGTCAGCGTCAAAGGTCAAGGTCAAATTCTTTGCTTCGTGTGCCTTTGCTTGCTCGGACTCGGAGTACTAGGGGGCCCGTTTGCATCCTGCGAAGCTACTCTCTCATTTTCAAAATAGATGTCATTCTAATTTTCTAAGAAATCAAATATTTTTTTCACTTTGATCAGACATATATAAAAAAATAATATTTATAGTATATAATTAGTATTATCAGATGAATCGTTTAATATATTTTTATAATAAATTTATCTAGAGATATAAATATTTTAATATTTCCTAAAAACTTAGTTAAAGTTGAGAAAGTTTGACCAGCACACGTCTCGTAGCGTCACTTATTTTGGGCGGATCAAAATTTAAGTGTTTAAAATTCAGGGCTTGCTTGGTTTGTTTACCAACCTTGCCTTGCCTTGCCTTGCTCACTTGGGCTCTCTTAGCCTTGCAAAGCTAGGCAAGCCATTTTGGCTCTCCTGTGCTAGCAAGAAAAACCTTGTCCGCACAAGGCCGTGGAAATCTGGTTGGAGATCCAAAATGCAAACAGATAGCTGCTACTACTATTCATCTTACGCAAAAAAAAAGGTAGCTACTACTCATATCCTTGCCAAGCAAGGCTACACAGTGCTGGGCAAAGGATCCAAGCATTCCCTTTGTTATAATGTTCGGATACATATAGCTTTTCTGTACAAAGACACTGGTGCCCTTGGATCCGCGTTGTTCAACAAGCACATTCCATGCAGGGTCTAAACTCTCGTCGTGCCACCTAGCAGGGTATCTCAGTTTTTTTGGTGGTCTGTTGCAGCTTTTAGTCCACGTTAGGCTTCATTTGACAATTACTAATGAACTAAAGAGCGTTTAGACTCAAAACTAAAAATTACTCGATCTACTTTTAAAGGCTATCTGTTTGGATACATGAATCTAAAGCTTAGATGACTAAATTTTAGTTGAGATGATCCAAACTTGGAAACAAATCCTAGTATACCAGGAAACTACTGGAGTAGTACTTTACTCAAATATAAACGCACTGCTGGAGTGTTAAAGTCAAAGATTATATCTAAAAGTGTATTTTTTTATTGTGACCCTGCTTGTCTTATTAGCCGTGTTATTATAGCGAACGAACAGTGTTTTCTATTTCACAATAAATCAATAAACAATATTTTTAGTCATGATTTTTCAGCAAAACGAACCTAGCCTGTGTCGTGGGAGCAGGAGCCAGGAGCTACTACTATTTGGCACGCCTGCAATTGCGCCACCTGGCTGTACTGCACATTTGCCATCCGATCTCGCGCTGTCACGCATGGTTGAGTACAGGAGCAAATCGCCGAATGTTTTAATCTGACCCGACGACCACTGTGCCTTAGTTGCATTCGGAATTTCGGATTCGTGTTTATCCGTACCGAGGCGTCAGCGTGATATGCATGATGTCGTATCGGACGATCAACGGGTGTATTCCCAAGTTTTTTCACTCTCTTTCCATCACATCAAATCTTTAGACATATGTATAAAGTATTAAATGTAGATAAAAAAAATAACTAATTATATAGTTTGATTGTAAATTACGAGACGAATCTTTTGAGCCTAGTTAAGCCATGATTGAACAATAATTATCAAATACAAACGAAAGTGCTACAATATGAATACTGATTCCTAACCATCATGTAAACCAGGCCTAGATAGAATGAACACGTGCGTGGTGTGTGTTCACTCTGGTCGGCGAAGCTCAGCAGCCCAATCAGGCCGCGCCGATGGCACAAGAGCTCCCCGGGGACGGCGCCGCATCGGACCGGGCCGTGGCGACGTCGATCAGGTTGCTGTGCGAGATACTGCGATCCGGGCCGCGAATTCCCGTCCGGGACCGAAGCGGCGCCGGCGTGACCGACCACCCCGCGCGCTGCCGACTCCCTGAGCTGAGGTGACAAGGGAATAAAAAGTGCGTGGCCCCTCCTGCCCTCTCGTCGTGCCGACCTGACCAGTACCTCGTCCAGTCGCGCTCATCCGTGCAGTGCAGGGGAGACGCACGTGGGATGTGCCTCTCATCTCGTTCGCTTGCGCGGGGGCGATGGCCCATGGGACCGCGCAGCAGCCCAACACGTGGAGTATCGCCGTTAGCGCCGGGCCGTTCCTCAGTTATTGGTGCAACCTTTTTTATTTTCAAAAAGGAAAGGAAAAGCAACGTTATTGGCTATTGGCACCAACTTGCAACATAAGTTGCAAAAAAAAAACCCGACTTGCAACATACTAATGTACCACTAGTACTATCCACGCACAGGAATTTGCCTTTTTGGCTAAAAGAAGATTAACACTACCTCAAATTCTAGATAAACATCATAACAAGACCGTACTACTAGTTATCAACAAGAGCCTGTTAATACAGGACCACACAGATCAGATGTGATTCTTGCGAATTTACGAGTCTTCTTCGAAGGATAGACGTATTTTGAGGGCTCAGCAGCGGGCCACTTACCCAATGACGTAGCAGCTAGGATTTAGAGCACGGATGGTCTATCTAGATGTGATGCAAATGATAGGGAGTTCCATATACAATCTTCAGGATATTAGACAACACATCACCGTAGTTCTAAATTCCGACACTAGCCAAATCCTAGGGTGGTCATATGGCCTAACCTGCCATCTAGCTAGCTCCGCCTATGAGATGCCCATGTATTGTTTTCATCATTTTACGGGGTGTTTGGATCCAAAGGTTAAAATTTAGTCCATGTCACATCAGACATTCGGATACTAATTAGGAAGACTAAACGTGAGCTAATTGTAAAACTAATTGCACATATGTAGACTAATCTACGAGACAAATCTATTAAGCCTAATTAATCCATCATTAGCAAATGATTTACTGTAGCACGATATTGTTAAATCATGGACTGATTAGACTTTAATAGATTCGCCTCATAAATTAGCCTCAATCAGTATAATTAGTTTTGTAATGAGTTATTGTCTCTTTTTAACTTACATGGACAGAAACTAGTTTGTTTCTAAACTGCATGGATATGCATGTGCGTTCGGTTAATTCGGTGAATTCAGTAATGAAGAATTTTGGTCTTAGCGAAATGTTTGAAAGGATCAAGATGTCCAAGAGGAGGAGAATTGGGCTAATTCTATTTTTTTACAATAATTAAGCCCTACACTTAGCCCACTTCACCCCTTTGTGTCTAGAATGTGTTTCTATTGTTCTCCCGTACAAAAGTTTTGCACCCTAGGTTTCAATCCTACTCTACCATGGCAATTCTAGTAATGTAAAGACATAAAATGAATTGCTCAAATGTAAATGCTCAAAATAAAGACTGACCCGACGAAAAAGGGCGAAGGTCTTAGGGATGCAGGTGTTGGTTTAAGGTAAGGATGTAGAAAGATTCAAAAGTTCTTTGCCAAAAGCTTACTATTCTTGATCCTAGTTTCAAGTTTTACCCCTAAGTACTTTAGTTCAATATCTCAAACTAAGTGTTCATATCCCATGTTCCAATCCTTTTTATTCCATTCCTTTTCTCAAGTTTTAGTAACTCACCAGTCTTACATTGCTTCTGTAATGAATCGAGTCTCCATATCCGCGGAGCACCGACGATTCGAATTGATTCAAGTCCCAGCTGGGGATTCTTTATCACACGACATATGTAGAACTTAATCTTGCATATATCAACCTCGCTACCGGATCCTCCCGTACTAAGTCGTCTCCACGCCACCCGAGAGCACAGCACGCCTCAAATCCGACCACATTCAAGCCACGAGGGTACACGCTACTCCCGCCATCTCACCACTCCCAGTGCGTGGGCATTCGTCTTAGTATCGGTTTAGCCGAAGTAAGCTTACCGAAGTATGTGACCAGTACTACAAAGTGTCTCGTTCAGAAGATCCACAATGAGTGGCCTTTAAGTGACATAGTCGGCAACATTACCCAACATTCAAGATAAGCCACCCGACTAGTCTCTAGTTCATTCTATCTTCTTTCTTTCTTTCTTTCTTTGGCCAATATGCCATCTTTGATTGTATCGAAACTTTTACTTTGAAAGCCTACCATAAGGCATACTAAGCATTCTACGCCTTTGTAAATGAA